TTGTGGGGGTGCAATAGGCACATAAACAGCAAAACCAAAAACTCGTAAATGTGAAATGTTTGGCTGATGCCCACACACAAGTTATACTGTGGAGTATTAGTGGTTGGCTATAGGTCTCAATCGAACCGATGATGCAACATGTAAGATGGCATGTCCCCATGCAGAAACCTTTACTAGTGACAAGAGTAAAGTAGGTGTAAAATATCACACTGAAACTATAGCACAAGAGGATGACAAATAAAAGAGGGAGGAATAGATACTGGAGTTTTTCTTTCTTCCCTGTATATTCTCTATATCCTTTAACTGCAGTCGGAGCACTTTATTTATAGAGTAGCTCCATACAAACAGGTTCTTACAGTTTGAAATTTACATCGCATGTTTTGAAAACAATCATTTTGTTTCCAAAGTCTATTTCAATTTGCAAGAACATTGACAATGTGTGTGTGGGCATTCATAACAATGCCAATGTTTTTAACTGCTAATGTTTTCAAATGTTAATGTTTTCAACAAAGCTCGACTTTTATCGTTACCTAACACCACAAATTTTCTCTCATGAGCATGCGGATTGTGTGCATAGTTTGCACACAATCCGTATTAAAAGTGTATTGATAATGTTTTTTTTTTTTTTTGAAAAAGTATTGATAATGTATTTTTAAATGGTATATAACTATTATGTCGTTATTATATTGATAATATAATAAAAATACATTATAATATAAGTCATGCATAACCCACTCACGTGCGCAGGAAATAATTTCTCTCAATCGCCATATTCAAACTTTGAATTTAAGAAAAGCCATCGACATTTCTGGAACCAACATGCAGTACCAAGGTAGGTATCGCGAGCAACCTAATCGCACTACAAGGTCACCTAAAGGATGAACTCTAGTGGACCAGACCATCCCCATAAGAGCAATTATGTTCCTAAACAAATGCGCCAGCATCCAGCCTATTTAATTCACTCAGTGAACAGTGATAGACCCCAATGAACAGTAATAGGCCAAACGCATCTCTACCCATAACAAAAAATAGCCTAGTCCATTTTATTAAAATATGATTAAATAAAATGCATGTCCAATTGGACCTTTAAAAGAATGACCTTTTTCCCCTCATTTGACCGGTTCTCTCTCTCTCTCTCTCTCTCTCTCTCTCTCTTCCAGCTCACTCCTGTGAGCTCTCCTTCTCCTTCCTCTTCCAAACCTTCAACAAATCAAACACAAAATATTATTTTTGTAATCCCTGGAGCTCAAGAAACCCAACCATGGCCTTGCATGCGGCATTGGTGCATGGTGCGAGGTCCTACCATTGAAGCCGAGAGCTTGAGCTCTCAATCTCTAACCCAGGTGATGTTTCTATCACTGTATTGTGTTCTTAAGCTTTAAATCCTGTTGTGTTGCAATTTTTGTGGTTAATTCGAGGGCTTAATTTCCTACATGTGATTATAACAAAGGAAAACAGACAAACTCCGACGAGTTCAAGGTCCAATTCTCGGTGAAATCTCTTGTATTTCACCTGGGTAAGTTCTCAATCCTATTCTTATGGTTTCTAACTTATAAATCGTGTTGGAAACCTTTGCGTTGATACAAACATGTTGTCGGTGCATTTTTTTTAAGATTTTTGGACGAACTTGGATCATCACTTTCAGGCGATTTGCCTTCTCCCTCTGTGGCTCCTTCCCTCCCGACACCCTCTCCCGCCTCGACCAACTCTACTCCTCAACCTCCACAACAACTCACTCTCTGGCACACAAAAAAAAAGTGACTAACATCAGCCTGCGTCATGTAGGCAGCCCATGGGTCTGTCGATTCAGGGCCGGTCTCTTGCCTAGCTTGGGCTAGGTGCCAGCCAATCTGCTAGGCTGGAGTGCAAAGCCTGGGTGTCAGGCAATTTTTTTGGCTGGGTGCCAGCCTATTAGTTCCCCGGTGGAATTGCTTTAACAGCTCAATGAGGTCCAACTCAAACCCTAGGGTTCAGAAAATAGGGCTTGCTACGTGAGCCACAGGTACATGCAAGCAACTGCTTTATCTTTTAGTAATTAATTTAATTAATAAGTGATTAGTACTATTTAAACTTTCTAAACATGGTAAGTCAATATACACATTATTTATTATTTAACTTGGGCACCAATTGGATTTGTTGAAGGAACCACCCTACCTAACTGATTATTTCTAAAGGGCAATAGTTGTACCCATTCAATGGAAGAATCTACTTTTTCACTCGTTTGTTATTGATTTATTTTTAATGTACGAATATTCTTAACTAGAACAATTTATATTTTTTTATTATGATCTAAAGACCATCTTTACCGAAAAAAAACTAATTCAATTTGGAGACTATTCAATCATCCATGTGTGTTGGACATATTGACGGTTAGCATTCTCATGATAAACTTTCATTTATTTGATACATATGAATGATTAAAAGATCTCCAAATTGAATGATATTTTGCAAATACTATCTTTCAATGATAATAAAAATACCTTAAAAATACGTTAATCGCTATTCACAAGTGAATGGACAAGTATGTTCTCCACAAGATATATACAAGCATTTTTCATTTCTAAATAGGGTATAGCAAGAAAATAAACTTTATTACTATAGATTCAGACTTTTTGCTCCACAAGTCCTTTCCAAGTATGTATTTTCCAAATGCCGTTTTAATTGAGGATTCACACTAAAAGTGTATATAGGCACAAAACCAATATTAATATTAAAAAAGTACATAGTGGACGCACCAAAAATTAACATAGTAATCATACATTATTTATTGGGAGGTATCTCATACATTGATGATAAACTAATCTTCGATCATTTGGCGGTCGCATTGCCTGCGTTGTCAAATCTGCCAGCTCCGCCATTGCGTTTCAAAGTTGGCAGCTCGACCACCTTGCTTGACTAGTGGATGTTGCAAATGCCACTTGAGCGGTACATTGCAGGTAGCCTTAGCCAGAGTGTCCTTACCCTCCACCGAAATGAGCAGACTAATGGTTCCCTTCTCATGGTAGTTTAGTTTAGTTTTGTTGTCTTGTCTAGCGAGTATTGTGGTTGCGTTACAGCAATGGATGGATATGATTTTCACCTTGAGTGATGAGTTATTGGTCTTGTCTACTTGCAATGACTTTATGTGACCTTATTATTCAACAATGACCTATTGTAGCCGCCGAGACAAATTTGTTGTGTCTATCGTTTTGTGACAAATTATTATGGGTGACCTGTAGTTTTTATACATATGGTATATCTGTTTAAGGGTTTACTATAGTTGTCTTGTTTGAGTGAATTCAGTCCAGATAATTTTCTTGGCCACTTGAGCATTGTACCCAATTGGTCATCTATTTGAGATGATCGATGAAATATCAATCTATTGTTCCTTGCAAAAAATAGAAAAACTAATCTCCTTCCCCTTGCAACTTGGGTAAATGCATGAAGTGGAAACGCACCTATGGTCCCGCAGTTAAATAGTACACCAAAGAAGAATCAACGATCCTAAGGAATGCATCTCTAAGAGTTCAACTTGGATTGAAAGTTTCAAACTTTTGGTCGTCTTCCACTATCCTATATGACCCAAAAACAAGGCATTGACTTTCGAAAAGTTGAAATTACAAAACGGCCGGTTTAAGATGTTACACTTTTCACCAATAGCATTGTCTATTTTTCGGTTGAAGTCACCTATATCATTGTTGCTTGAATTAAAACTCACATATTAGAATGTTTGAGAGTTACTTTTGAGTATACTACATCAACATGATATCAATAAAGAATAGAGCTACTGGCGTTTTAAACCTTTTAAGTTTACAGTAACTTTCATAATTAGCCCTTGATCAAAGAAAAAAATTTCTAAAATAGGACACGAGATTTCAATTTCTAACATTGAACGCCTAAAGTTTTATAGGACTCGTTTTTAGGTTGTACATAAGTCATATTGACACTACTATGACCAAACTATTTGAATGCTTGTTGTTCTAGAATAACATCGTCTACTAAGAATTTGGATCCCATCTAGATCCTCTCTGTTAGAGATCCTTACCTTCTATCCGTTCATCGTGATTGTATGGCCAAAAATTATTTTGATTTTTTTATTATTTAAAATTAAACACAAATAGTACCTAACGAAAACTGCCTACACGATGTATGATGAACGAATATGATGCGAGAATCATCATCCGTCTACGGAAATGATATCTGTTTCATGTGACGCAAGCGTGATTACATCGTATTAACTCAGCTAAATAGTGAAAGAGAAACCAAAGAAATTTCAAAGTTTGTGTTTTCCTCTTTAGGAAATTTGGGCACGTAACGTTCGAGAGAGCACAAAAATAGAAACCAACGATGAACGCGGGCAGTATTGTCATTTCAAGCAACAATCGTATGTAAAAGCTGGACGATATTTACGGCAAGTATTGTCGAGTGCGTCTCAGGCTACACAGTTGGCTTTGGGATTCGCAAACATTTGATCATCATCAAGGTCTAAAATATCGATGGTATTGGAAATATCGGTAGTTTAAAAACACGAAAATTTCGATAGAAATATTGAAATATTATTGATATCAATAAAAATTGAATAAAAACCACAGAAATTATAAGAAAAACTTGAAAATTTTTATTGAAACTTTGCAGGATGTCTATTTAATCAATTATCTATTAGTTTATCATAAAAAATTGGAAGGAAATGCATTGTATGATGAATTTAACTGATTTAAGTTGATTATATAGTGAGGTGGCAAACATTATGAATGTAGAAAATATGTAGTAATTAATGAAAGAAGTTTGAACACACCATAATCATTTATATATAATGAATTAGTACAATATTTTACACTTCATACATTACATGGTAAGATATATGAGTGACTTATGACCACGTAGAGTTCCTATCAAAGTTTAAAATATCAATGATATCAGAAATATTCATAGTCCAAAAACACGAAAATTTCAATGAAAATATCGGGATAATATCGATATTTTAGATCCACAACCCAAAAACTACACAGCAGAGAGAGAGAGAGAGAGAGAGAGAGAGAGAGAGAGAGAGCGCTTCAGACCCCGAAAGCCACCGCTCTTGCCCCTGTAAGGCTCCTTCACTCTCACTCCTCGTTTCATTTTCTCTGGTATATTTCTTCTTCTTTTCTGCAAAAAGTTTTGAGTCTTTGATTTGCTTTTGTGGGTTGGGTTTTGACTTTTTAGTGGAATTGCCTTCTGTTTTGAGACTTTTGGCTTTTTGGGTCCTGGATTTTGGAGCTGAAATCAGCCCAAGTTTTCTGCTTTTGGGAAATGAGAGGGTAGAAAGTCAACTGAAAAGTTTGGATGAGCTTTTACTGAACAAGGAAGTTGAACGGCAGCACTAGTATATCATTTTGCGGATGCTTTGTTTTCATAGAAAAAATGAATGGAGGATGTAAATGTATGCTCTTTCAGATATCTCCCGGATTTTGGTTTATTTTCAGAGGCACTAATTGAATGAAATTTTAGCTGCAGCATGAAGCAAACTTATTTTATGATTTGGATGAGTTGGGAATTGAGAAAGTTTAGCTGCAATATCGAACTTATCCACTTGATGATTTTATGGGCTTTGGTTGACTGAATCCCTGAAAGATCATTAAGCATTTTCACAGTTGTTGTGTTCTGAACTTCTGAGATATAGTGCAAAAACATTTTTCTGCTTCTTCTTATAAGTTGTGTATTTTAAAAATGTGTTTCTGGATAAGTAATGTGCGCTCGCTAGTTCAAATTTGATCTCTTCCGATTATATTTTTCACGGGGTTGAATCAAGCCAAGTTTTTTGTTCCGGAGTAATTGTAGAGCATATGTGTATTGGCTTGATGCTCTTTATTTTCGCCAAGTATTAAGTCTTTGGTGGTCGTACTGTTGTTATATGAGTTTAACAGAATCAATAGGTTCCCCCCTTTTTATTATATTTTTGTTTTCAAGTCTTTATAGTTCAACGAGTTGGAAATCCATCTTAAGCACTTGAGAACTGCCTTTTATAGAGTCTTTAATCTTTCTGCTGTTTATAACTAAGAGGACAAGGAGTTTCCTGGTATACTTGCAGTCACTCATAAGTTTTTTCACAGAATCCTATATCGTCATACGGCATGTGAGAATCTAAAAGTGCCTATAATTGTGTAAGAAACCGAAATCTTTGTGACATTATGCATGTCTGGCCCTGCGGCCATTGGCGATAAAGCGGCAGAAGCACGATTGTTTACAGAGAGAACAAAGTCTCTTGAGGTCATTTCCAAAGAAGACAGAGAATCCATAATAAATAATGGTGAAATTGCTGATACTTCTGAAATTGCAGCCTTTAGAGTCAGGGAGCTATTACTTCCGAATAGGGAGTCCTATTCTGGACCCGTGCTTGGAAACATCCCTGAAGGGAAGGGAAAATATGTCTGGTCAGATGGCTGCATATATGAGGGTGAATGGAGACGGGGGATGAGACATGGGAATGGAAAAATTATTTGGTCTTCTGGTGGTGTTTATGAGGGCGAATTTTTAGGTGGATATATGCATGGAACAGGGACCTACATTGGGTCGGATAAGATGACTTATAAGGGGCGATGGCGGTTGAATCTCAAACATGGTTTGGGATATCAAGTCTATCCTAGTGGAGATGCCTTTGAAGGTTCTTGGATGCAGGGGTTGGCAGAAGGGCCTGGCAAGTATACGTGGGTAAATGGAAATGTTTATCTAGGAAATATGAAAGGAGGGAAAATGTCAGGGAAAGGAACTCTCACATGGACCAATGGGGACTCATTTGAAGGAAGCTGGTTGAATGGCATGATGCATGGATTTGGAGTATACACGTGGAGCGATGGAGGCATCTATGTTGGAACTTGGACCCGCGGTTTAAAAGATGGGAAAGGGTCATTTTATCCAAAAGGCAGCAGACTTCCAGTAGTAGAAGAACTTTACATGAACGCTTTGAGGAGACGAGGGCTCTTGCCAGATTTAAGAAAACAGAACAACGCACATATCCATAATGCTGGTTCAGGGGATATAGGAAATGTGAAGATTGGAGAGAGCCTGCAGGGATCTCATCGTGCTTCAGCCGATAAAATCTCTAATAGAAATCTGTTAAATTTGGAGCAGTCACATAGAAATGTTTCCTTGGAAAGGCGTTGGAGTATGGAGGTATCTTTCGAAAAAGTTATTGGCCATGATCTATCATTAGCTGAGGGTGGAGAAAAAGATTCTGAGACAGGAATTCCAATCTTAGAACGAGAATATATGCAGGGTGTCTTAATCAGTGAGCTAGTAATGAATAACAGCTTTTCTTCGTCATCTAGAAGGGCAAAACGGCGACAAAAGAAGCTAGCAAAAGTGGTGAAGAGACCTGGTGAAGCGATCATTAAAGGTCATAGGAGCTATGATCTAATGCTCAGTTTGCAGCTGGGTATCAGGTACATTTACATTACTTGTATTATTTTGTCTTCATTTATCTTTTGTATCTAATGCATGGTTTTTTATTAGATTATAATTGCTTAATTGGTTACTCCCTTCTAGTATTAGCAAAGACTAATTAAGCAATTCGATTTGTCTTTCCTTTCCTCTGTTGGATTCAGGACAAACATGGGATCATTGTGGGGAAAAAAGCAAAATATATGTATAAATTAGCTGTATGATTCCATGAGAGGGTTTAATTATCTTAAAAGGTTTCTCCTTTAGGGGTGAAAAAATTTACAGTCCAATTGCGATAGCCGCTGTTCATCACTTACCTCATGTACATTGCATATTTTGTTTGCTGAAACTTAATGTTGAATGTGGATTAAATTGTGGCCAGGTATACTGTTGGGAAGATAACACCAATACAAAGGAGAGAAGTCCGGGCATCAGATTTTGGGCCTCGAGCAAGTTTTTGGATGAATTTTCCTAAAGAAGGCTCCCAATTGACACCGCCTCATCAATCAGTAGATTTTAGGTGGAAAGACTATTGCCCCATGGTCTTTAGGTTAGTTGTCCTATCTTGACGTTTTGCTTGTAGCCTATTTGTTTGTTTGATGCATTTACAGTGATGGGGATATTCTTTTGTTTGTAGAAGTGCTCTTTCTACGTTTTACTTATTACATATACGTATGTACAGAATCATACAAGTGTGGGCTTCGACGCCAAATCAGGCCCACACACACACACACACAAAACTTGACTAAACCTTAACCTGAAAATTTGGGTCGTTTACTCATATACACAATCATGTGTGTGTGTGTGGGTGTATTCACTGTATTGTATACTTCTGTAATGTTTTCGGGCTGTTGTGCAGATACTGTGCTGCCAACAGTTTCCTATTTACTTTATTGTGAGTCGTGACATTTCAATATCATTCCTTTTATATCAACTTTGCAGGAATTTGAGGGAGATGTTCAAGATTGATGCTGCTGACTACATGATGTCTATTTGTGGAAATGATGCTCTCAGAGAACTTTCTTCTCCCGGAAAAAGTGGTAGTGTGTTTTTCCTATCTCAAGATGACCGTTTCATGATTAAGACACTCAGGAAATCTGAAGTTCAGGTTTGTATCACTGCTAGAGCTTGTGCATCTACATTTTTTTGTTGATGACTTGATGTACAAGAATTACTAAATGCTTGTGAAGTTATCTTATTTCTCAGTGTGGAAATGAATTCACACTAAAACCAGTAAACTGCTTCCTTTGATTCTTTTCATTAATCCCTAAAGCTAAAGCGCCTTAGATACTCCTTTGTGAATTTTCATGATTTTGTTCACAATGTTTGTGAAAAAGAATTATGTAGAGAAAACTGGATAGCGGATTGAAATTAAGTTGTTTTAGAATTACTGGACATGTCATTACTTGGTTACCACCATCTCAGAAATTTTGTTCGGACTCGGAATAAGGTTCTTGACAAATCTTATGTCTATGCGGAGGACCAGCTTTAGCAATTAGTGAAACTGTCACCGTATAATCTTCTGTTACGGAAGTGCTATCTTTCGTATAATAACACTATGGTCAGCAAACATATCTATTTAATGCTGAATTGTGATACATGTGCTGTAATCGAATTCTTCATCTTTCGCCTCCCCTTTTCTTTAATCATCTGGAGGTGTGGTAACCAGAGTTCTGATGTGTAGGTTCTTCTGCGGATGCTTCCTAGTTATCATCATCATGTAAGGTCGTATGAGAACACCCTCATCACAAAATTCTTTGGACTTCATAGGATTAAACCTTCAAGTGGTCAAAAGGTAATGGGAACAGCGCTTTAGATATCTGCATTATCATGCCGTTACATTCCAGTAATAGTATCATTCGAGATTCTATAGTGAATTCCCTTGTTATTTGCGATGATTCTCTATGAATGTAAATTGCTTCTTGTATTTTGAAGACGGACATTTTTACGTTAAAATATGCTTTGCAGTTCCGCTTTGTAGTGATGGGAAACATGTTCTGCACAGAGCTAAGAATACATCGAAGATTTGATTTGAAAGGTTCATCCCTTGGTCGTTCTGCTGATAAGATTGAAATCGACGAAAACACAACGCTCAAGGACTTGGATTTAACCTACTCTTTTTATCTCGAACCTTCTTGGCGAGAGGCCTTAATGACGTAAGTGCGAGTTCTTTTAAGTTTACGAAAACACACCCCTGTTTGTCATAAAAAATAAAAATCAAAAATGTAGTTCTGTTATTGTCGTTTGTGTTGGTTGTGAAAGATTTAGTCGACGTGGTTTCTAAGTGCCAGATTTAAGTACTCGGTTTACTTGTAACAATACTAAGTGGTAACATTTTCCACTCGTCATTTTTCGCCTGCTTAACATGTATTATTCAAGCTTTAGGTTCCAATTTTTTCCATATGTTATTACTACTGTAACTCGTTGTGCTTTCCGAATATTATGCAGTCAGAGTGAGATCGACAGTAAATTTCTGGAGGCGCAGCACATTATGGACTACAGCCTTCTCATGGGAGTGCATTATCGAGCCCCCCAACATCTGCGGTCTATCACGTCCTACAATAATACCACTCGAGCTGATGGTTTGGGAATCCTTGCAGAGGAAGGTGGTTGTCATCCTCTTTCTCTCGACGATATGGAGTTATGTTTTCAACTATTACTAAAGACTAACGTAAAGTTTTTTGTTCCCGGTGTTCGAATGACAGAGACTCTGGAGGACGAGATCTCCAATTACCCACAGGGACTTGTCTTAATCCCACGTGGAAGCAACGACGCTAGTGTTGTTGTTGGCCCTCATGTGAGAGGTAGCCGACTGAGAGCATCATCTGCCGGTTATGAGGAAGTCGATCTCCTATTACCCGGTACAGCAAGGTATGATCTGCTGCAATAGAACGCATCCATGGAGCATTTATATAGACCCCATTCAGAGAATCCGTTTAAGCCTTCGTTTGAAAAGCTATGCATCGGAATTCGGAAGTGAAAATCCCGACCAAGGGCATTTCTAATTAAACTTATGTCTACAAATTTGAGCAGGCTCCAAATCCAGCTGGGTGTGAACATGCCAGCAAGGGCAGAGCAGGTTCCCGGCGAACAGGGAGACCAGCAAACATTTCATGAAGTATACGACGTTGTGCTATATCTTGGGATCATTGATATATTGCAAGACTACAGCATGGGAAAGAAGATTGAACACGCGTACAAATCTCTTCAATTCGATTCCTTGTCCATCTCCGCTGTGGACCCGACATTCTATTCCCGGCGCTTCTTGGAATTCATCCGGAAGGTCTTCCCTCCAAATGCCTTAACAAGGTAAGATTTGGTGTCCAGTGCAGAAAGAACCTCATCTGAGGGTACTTTTGATAAGGCCTGCGGTTTGCATCCCTCAAGGACCGTTTGCAAAAGCATCCGGAGAAGGAGCATCATCGGCTATGCCAGCATTGAGCAGCAGCTGGGTTGAACATCGTAATGATTTGGTGACAGATTTGAATTTGTTTCTCCCTCCCTCTGGTTTTGCTACTTTTGGAGCGCCTGCTGCTTACTTACATGTACCTATATCCATTTTTCCGATCAATGTACTGTGTTTAATCGATCAGAGACATCCAAACCATCTTTTTTTTCTTTTTCTTTTTTTTTTTGTACAAACGAGCCGTTACAAATGATTATAAATTTGGAAATGATTTCCGTACTCTTATTATACCTTTCCTCTGTTGGATTCAGGACAAACATGACATCCTTGAAGAGTCGTGTTTCAATCTAAAGGTCAAAGTAACAGGAAAGTATTTTTCTTTGATTTGTTCAATCGAAAAGTAAAAATTAAAGCGTAACAAGGTACAGCTTCCAGTTTAACGGAAATACCGGGGCATTTTTGTTGACTTCATTCTCCACACACATACTGCAAATATTTTCACTGAGATGTTCCGGTACAAGGACTGCCACCCCAAGGCAATAGGTTCCCTTAGCCCATACTAGGAGGTGGTGGGGGTGCACGAAGACCCTGGCCCTGCATTTGTTGTCCCGGAAAGCCTTGCGGAGGTGGCATGGATGGAGGCCTTCCCATCTGAGAGCCAGGAGTGAAATTCACCATTGTATTACCAACTGGGGGCGGAGGAGGGGCAGGCGGAGCGCCACCAGGAGGCATAGGCCTAGGGCCATTTCCCATAGGAGGTGGTGGTAGTAAAGATCCAGGACCTGGCGGAGGAGCTCTAGGAGGATTTCCCATTGGTGCACCAGGAGGCAGTCCTTGTGGCGGAGGAGGAGGACCTTGGGGTGGTGGGGGCAAAGGCCTTGATGGAACACCGGGTGCACCTGGGCCATTAGCTGCAGGGGGAGGTTGCGGTTTGTTCGCCTCTGGTGGCTTAGTTTTGAAATATAGCTGCAACTGCATATTGATACATCCAACAAGAAAAAGTGAGAAGGGTTCTATAAAAACCTATAGTTTGCCAGGATTTCTTCCTTCTTAATTTTACTAATCCAGCCTGATCTAGTGATTATGCAGCAGTTTATGTAGATATCACCAATTGGTGCCAACAGACTCAAGACCGAAAATGTGCCTCGCTTGCCGAATCATATAAGCTTTCTTAAGTTGGATTCCACACGGCCATTTGATAACAATTTCGTTTCAAATTTTTATTTTTCATTTTTGTGCTAGAGATGGAAGGGAAATATGTCGGTAAAAATGAGGGACATAAAATAGTTGAGGAAGGATGGTGGTGAAGATATGTATAACAAATGTATAACGAAAGACACAACGAAAACTAGAAACCAAAAACTCGTTCAAGATTTTGATTTCAGTCACTCTTCCTTGTTTCTTCCCTTCCCTCCCCATCACCCTTCTTCCCTTCTTTCCCCCATAGACTCTCCCTACATCTCAAACACAAAAAGTGGAAAGTATAAAGTAAAATGAAATCATTATGAAACAGGCACTAAGGTTATAAGTTCATATATCTTAAAACAACCACGGACAAGATTTACCAATCTAATGAACCACCAGGTTAACAGTCCAATGAAACACTTCAACTAGTTCTTGCAGCGCAGATAAAACAAAACAAATCTATAGGGTTAGAAAACTAACTGTGAACATTTTTGAGTCTGGATCCCAATGTGAGAAAAACTTATCAGTTTTGTCGATCTCAATGTTAGGAACCTGAAACAGAAACAAACATGCAGGCACAACAAGCATCTTGAATCTAACAATATAGAGAATGAATGAGTACCCCATGCATTGACGATGAGATATACCTTGAAAGCAACTATCTCATAAGGCTCGGCTGCAAACAGAAGATACTGGTACTTTTTGTCGACAGGTTGAACCCTCTGTGTTCATGAAATGTCAACATTTAAAGAAATATCAAAACCATTCACTGAAGCCTTTAAATAAGAAAAAAGAGTAGAAGAAGACAACGGCCATAAATTGCAGACCACAAACTCATATTAATATAACTAGCCCTGCCTGCTCATAAGATGACATAAAACGATGCCTTGGCTTTGTATTATCTTCAATCTCAGGATATTCAATCTGCAAAGCATACATATAGTAACACCATTAGCTAATCCACTGTTTAGCATTCTACATATCCTTGAACGAGAACTCATTATTTCTGGAAAATAAATATATCACAATGAACACAGACACAGACACCTGGAAGAGAAGAGACCTCTGCTTTGTTTCTCCATCAAACTGCTTTGTCACTCGATACCCCGGCCTACCAATTTTGACTGCAACCATAGATTAAAGGATATACTTACGATAGTTAACTCCATTGGCAGAATTACAAAATGGTTACCATGGGCTATAGCCCAAGAAGCCATTTAAATAAATATATAATTTTATATATATAGTATTAGGATCGGGGGACACACGCTTTTGACACACATTTGACACACGTTTTTGTGAAGCCCACCCCGTAATGTATTTCAACGATCCAACCATCCATCTTTTATATATTACCTCAAAAATCATGTCTACCAAAAATCACCCAAATCCAAAACTATATGACCATTGGACTAAATGTAGTGTTTCTTGTAGAATCCTCTTTGTCCATTTTCTTCACTACAAATGAATGTCTTAATGGTTTTAGATTTGTCTAAGTTTTTGCAAGGATGATCTATGAATGATGTACTAAAACATACTACATTACGAAGTGAGCCCTACAAAAATGAGTGTCAAAATGAGTGTCAAAATGTGTGTCAAAAGCGTTTGTCCCTGGATCCTAACCCATATATATGTGTATGTTTATGTATCCATTTATATGTTAAGATAATTCACCCCAAACATCTTATTTGCCCACCCAAATATAACCTAGTAATCCATTCCCACTCTAATTTGTAGCCATTACGCATCCTAGATCAATTGTTGACTCAATTAATAAACACAATCCCTTAGTAAACACTCATGCTTTTAACTCTTAACCCTAACCTCTCCATCTTCCCCTAATTTTCCCTAATTTTTCAAATGTTGTTAGCGGCCATCATATCACCCCTAAAATTTATCTAGCCCGCCTTAACAAAATTTCTGGTTCCGCCCTTGGTTAACTCAACCTAATTTTCTTGTCCAAAAACACATTCTACTGAAATGCACCAGCTGTGCCAATCAGCCATAAAATCTTAAAAAAACCCAAATCAAACTAAATAAAAAATAAAACAAAACTAAACAAAAAAAAAAAAAAAAAAAAAACCCACATTATACATCATAAACAACTTTACATGCCCACCGAGCGTCCGACAAAATGCTTGTCAAAAATTTATTAGACACAACATACCCGTCTTTCGCACATTGACCTTGCGCTTGTGCGGCTGGGGCTGCGCAGGAGCGTCCTTCGCCTCGCGAGCAGCTCGTTTTGCCAAATTAGTCTGATGGCGCTTGCCTTGTGTATGCGCCAAGTAGTTGCCCTCGTTGTTGTGCAGCGTCAAGCAAAGCTTACACTCATAGCTACAAAGACCCACCAACAATCAGATTAAAAGCAGTGAAATTTGAGCAGAAAGCAAAAGAGGGTCACACCTTCCAAGGTGATTGCGCATGAAATAGGGATCTTTGGCGAGATCGATGGTCTCAAGCGCGAGCCGCCGGAGACGCTCGCGGCGGTCGATGGCTTCGTTCTGTGCAGAGGCGGCTCCTCCGCTTCCGGGCTTTGAGCCCCATTCTCTGTCCATCGTCTCAGTTGTCAGTCACCCACTGTTTCTCTCAGACTCGACAGGTTTAAGATTTGGGAGAAGTACCCAGACAGTCACACTCGCTGCCCATTCTTTTCTTTTCTTTGTGTTTTTGTGAAGGAAAATTTGGAAATTAATATATTTATTGCGCTGCATACTTTTTCTTTTCTTTTCTTTTCATAGATAACATGATATTTTGTTTGTAAAATTAGTTTAAAATTATAGTGTCACATCCCGTCCCAAAATAAATCATCGATGACGTGAATTGATTATTTTACCCTTGGACGTGAGTGTTGTGGTGTGTGTTATGCAGGTTAGGGGTGGTCCAAACTTATGTTTTCCTTAATTTTTGGACCAAAGTGGCACTTAGTTTTTGTGGTTGTGGTTGGTGACCCACGTGGACCACACACACACACAAACCCTTCATCTCTCCTCTCCCGCCGTGCTTTCTCTCCCTCGAACTCACTCTCTCTTCTTTCTCCCGTACAGGCGAAACAAATCTAGCAGAAAGTTTGCAGATCGAGGGTTTAAAGGACACCATCGTGTTCCTGAGGTTCATATGAGTCGAATGGTACCATTTTTAGTAAGAACTCCTTCGAAAACCCTAGTTTCTCTCGAACTCTGATTTAGGTACTATTCATGCAAACGTAAAATCACGTGTTTTTTGGGATTTCAAGCTTATAGGTAGCTTAAGGAGGTCCTCACGAGGCTGGGAGTGGTTCGTTGGAAGAATTTGGACGTCAGAGTAGCGAGGACGACGAGTTTTAAGTTTGGTTGGATTATCGTGGATCTTTCCGGCGAGATCCCGTGAGATTTAGGTCCTAAAACTGGTAAGGGTTTGTTCTACTTGTCTTAAGCTTCATTTTGGTATATAATTCGTGAAATTTGACTGAGAAATGGACAAGAAATGAAGGTTTAAAGAATTTCCCAGTTTTCGGCACCAGCGACGGTCGCCGGAGTTCTAAGGTAGGGGATGACCGAATATTCCGTCAACTTTGACGGAATATTCCTAACGGCGTTGGTTAGTTTAACGGATTCTGTTACTGTTTAACAGAATATTCCTAACGGGGTTAAGGGATTCCGTTAGGGTCCCTGCGCGTGTTGTAGTGCCTTGGCCGGCGTGTGACGACGCGTGAGTGGTCGGAAAATTTTTCTAAAAATATGGGGATGTTCGTGGAGTTGTTTAGATCACGTTGGTATATTCAAACACCCTGTTTGAGCATTGTATGAGAAGTTATTAGCTAGTTTTTTCTATGTGCCTTAAATGACGTTTTTATAGTTGTTTCACATATAGGGGAGACTTATCCCGAAGACGAGCGCGGTCAAGAGCGACTCGAGGGCTATGACCCTTTGACATACCAGTGAGTGGGCTTTTGATTTTCAGTATATACTTATATACTTGATATTTTCCCAGAAAACTACGTTTAAATGAAGTATGCCTTGAATTGCCATGCATATACATTTATATTCTCTATATGAGTTGATATATGATGCATAATATATCATTATGGTGCTGTGAACGCTCAGGGAAGTACCAGGT